CCAATAGCCACAAAATGAAAAAATCCGAGAAAAAGTGCAGTTGCCACTTTTTCCAATTGCGACATCAGACCAATTCGATGAAATCTTACAAATGGTTGTGACAAAGCGGAAAATAACAGTGAAAGCCTAAACAAAGGAGAACAAGGATCACCATGACTAAATATCTTAAAGTAACTCAATCCATGCCATGTTCAAAAGCCACGCCAACTCCGTCCGAGGGATTATGGTTATGATTTATTCACCGGTTAGTAAGAACAAACAGAACAACACGTAATTATATGACTTAGTGACCGATAAAACATGCAAAAAGGAAAAAGGAGTAACGGGCTAGATATAGGGAATGCAGATTGCTCCGTGAAGAGCAGTGGCCGCCTCGCGACCGAGCGAAGAGGCTTCGGGTACCAGCTTAATAGGTCCGTTAACCCCATCAAGGCCCACCTTTGAGCGAAAGGGTTACAGCAAGGAAAATATGAATATTCCAATATTATAGACGCACGAGGAAACAGTTGAAATACAGTCAATTAGAGTCCGCTAGTAGTAACGGTAGCGGGGAAGAGAAATAAAGTCACTAGGGTTAGCAACGGAGAGGAATGACAGTACGCTGAGGAGCAAACCAACGAAAGAACAGTAGAACAGAAGATTAACATCACTCAGAGAAGATATTACGCCTAGAAAAGATATTATGCTCAATGACAGCTTGCAGAGCTAAAAGCAGGAGCGCTACATAGCCAACAACAACAGACAGCGAACTGCAACGCAGAACAGAAGAAAGTGCAACTGCCCTTGAGCATTTAATTAAGTTTTTTTTCCAATATGATGAGTGTAGATTCTGACTTTGCAGAAAATGTTGAAATAGAAAGTTCCAGCTTTGAGAGATCCGCATAAATGAGGATTCATCAGAGAATCCAAGAATCATGGGCCAATTTCTGCGCATTGGAAGACGATGTTTCATGCGCGACTGTTTGAAAATATGAGAGCGGCTTCAAAAAAAGAAAATTTTTTCATTTCAAAATTGCTGAGAGGTCCATTTGAGAGCTACTAGGGCCCAGGCGCAAAGTCATCATGGCAACAACTTCCTTCCCTGCGTTTTTTGATTAGTTCCATAAAAGTGAAAAAAGACGAAACCGCCACTGACGGCATATTTAGTCTTTTCTCGCCGACTAGATCGACAAATGAATGGTGCCGCGAAACTATTATATGAAGACCAGCCCTACTCATTGCAATGCTGAGCCTCTAGCAATTATGTCACTCGTCGGTGCTCTACAAAAACTATACTGAGACCTGGATCTAGTCTCCTTATTCCCCCTACGTATAGGTATGTGATTTCGAGGGTTCTGGTTAATTCAAGGTCCTTCCCATTGACCGCCGCCTCAACGATTTGTCAGTCGTCAAGGCTGGCACCAACGCATTAGTTCATTCGCACTAGTTCGAAAAACCACCATGCTCTTATGGTTAGGGCACGTGGAGCCTGTACTTATAACCACTCAACTTGTAGCGAAATACTTTTTTATCTATCTCCCCCTTTGTATTAATTGAAACCTATTTACTTGAATGCTGATACTAGCAAGACAGTCTTGCGTGACAAAGTACATCACTCCCGAATATAGCGCAAGTATTGGGTTCGTTGACTCCAACAAAAGTCCCTGCAGTACACGTAATAGGTCAAGATGATGAACTACTTTCAGCGGACTTCAAAGTGAAAAACTTGAACGAATTCATCACCTACCCGTTTGCACTATCCGTGGAGAGCACCTACAATATTCACGGATCGGGTCGTTCAAAATATGTGCTTTTCATAGAACAACGTGCCCGAAGTGTCGCTGGGCTTCCCGAGCAAACCAACAGTAAAACGATTTTGAAGACCTCTCTCTGACGACCACGTAGGCAGCACGCATACAGATATGTTTTCCGCAAGAAAAAACCCATTGTCTCAATATTTGAACAGAGCTTCGCCATGCTTCTATTGTTCTGCTTCCAAACTTTTGGGAGCTTTATAAAACCAGAATGGATTGAAATGGACCAGCAAATCGAAAATCTGACACGACACATAGAACTTCGAGATACATCATGTTGCCAGAATATGAACACTGGAGTTGTGTATGAAACTGCAGTTGGCTGCTTGCGAGGGAAGTAAAAGGCAACAGATTTGTTAAAACCGCCATCTACAGAATCACGCATCCACAGCGAACTTTGAGCAATGTACGAATTCACGAAGATAATAAGCGCTTGAAAATCAGCCGATGAGGAACGAAAGAGCAGTGAAGTGAGCAAGAGCAGAAACGCTCAAGCTTCTGCCAGTCGTGTTCTTTCTATTCAGGAGACTGCAATGACGGACTTTCTTGGAAAGAAAAAAATGTCCGCTGTTTACTCGACGTACAACGTACATCCACAAATTCGACCATTCTCCACACATTAATTTCGCCGCATTCGGAGCCGTTAATCGTCATTTTGGTACCATGGCTCCTTCCACCCAACGCTCTGTGTACATGGAAGTGACCGATGATCTCGGCCGCTAGTATGCCATTCACTTCTCGGCTCCACCGCCATTTGATGCATTGGTAAACCTGATACTGGAGTAAGAAGCATCCCTCAGGCTCAATCTAAACAAAATATGGGTACATGAGGTAGCGCAGCTTACCTCAGCAAGTTTACAGAAAATTGGAATGGAAAAGGGTTCTATACATTGACCCCTGCTGGCCCCATTACACATGCTACTGGTGTCTAATGGGCCCCGGTAGCCGTCGAAGTCAGAAAAAAATGTCACAGTAGTCATCGAAACTCCGAATAACTTTTACAGGCAGGATCTCAGCAAGTCTTGAGAAATCGGTGTCGAAGTAGACAAAAGGAATAAACTACTGCGAAAAGAAAAGAAAATGACACTTAAACCATCTTGCGACGTACGATATAGATAATAAGTACTGTGTTAACTAATACACTGCCGTGTGCAGTAGCTATCCCATGCAATGCTTTCAGTGTGTCGTAGTAGCATATGGGCAGACGTCGCGGCTTCCTTTCTCAGCTTAAAGACAGCTCCCGCGATAAAAGTCTCATGGATAGCTGCTTTCCAATTATGAAACAGCAGCTGATAAGTAATCTCCCAAAGAAGAAAACAGGCAAGAAGCGTTCTCCAGAACAACATAAACAAAATCGCTCCCTCACAGTTACACCTCCCTGCGGTCTCTGTGCAGCCCCTAGCTCACAATCTCTCTATCACATCTCGCAGTAGTTGATATCATCCAGTGCAAAAGAAAGAATACAAAAAGAAAACAACAAAAACGCAGAGGAAAAACTCTGGGAAGGAAAAAGGAATTTTATCAACACGGTGTCTGAATTTGTGATTACGGTAGCGCACCTTTTGTGCGTCGTGGTTTTGCATCACGAAAATTGCGTCACTCGTGTTTTTTACGCGTTTCACCTCGCGAAATGGGTTGAATTGAATGTATATACCTCCAATGAGTAAACTGTAATGAAGGAGAGCAGAATTATCCAGGGGCATTAGCAATGCCCGCCGCCCCAACTAAGAACAAGTGAGTGGCCTCCGTCGGAGGACATCTAGCAAGTAAAGGCGGTCCGACTGAGGAGGAGTTAGAACTAGCACTTTGAGCGGCTATAGCAGCCTCCACGCTCACAATAGAGTCGCGAAAGGTGAACAGTCTTCTAGCTTGGAGGCTAGACTACTTGCACAGCAAAGGCGACCACGAGCCACTTTGATCGCGGGGGCTGTCTTTAAGCCATGCCCACCTCCAGGATGTCCTTCACCGCATTGCTGCCCAATATTCTAACGGCTTCTCACCCTTGCTGAAGGTAGCTCTCCTCACCGATTGCTCTCCTCTGTCTGCGACGGGAGCACCTCGTCCAAAGGCTCAGAGGGTACTGATTGGATGTCTAATATGACAGAGAGAGTCGTTTTCGCGACGGAGGATGGAGAGAGCCTCTTGCCTGCACAGTTTGCTTTTAACATGACAGTGCCACCTCGCACTTTATAAAAACAGGTCATGCTGAAGTCCATGCAACACAGCTCGCCTTCAAAACCGATATTGCCCAGAAGTTCGATACTCTTCACTACTATTTCCCGAACTCATTGTATGGGCCACATATGCTTTACGAGCCAATGTTAAATCAACATATAGTCTTACTTTGCGTTGACCAAGCTTCCTTTGTAAAACCATGGCATAGTTGAAGTGCTCATACGAGGACCCACGATCCTGACAGTGCATATCTTTGACGCCAGGCCTTTTTCTACAAAAAGGAAGTAGAGCAGCGCTGCACTATCTCGCCAGTGTACTAGCTATGGCTCAGCACTTTCGGTCAATATACACTTCTCGAAAAGCGACAAAAATGCCACTCTAAGGCAGTTCGAAGGTATCCATCTTTATTACATTTGACTGGTCTTTCAACCTATAGGCTTATGGTACGAAAACTGGCAAGAAACAGTTGAATTGCCGAGGGAAGGAAATCCGACTAGGGATTTCGCTAACGCTATGCTGTACTCCAGCTCAGGTGCCGAGCGGATATCTCATACCAAATGTGAACGCAGTGATGGTAATATCCAGTGTCTTGAGCTCTCATGTGTCACGCAGTGTTCTCAACTTATTCGCACGGCGCTTTACCGATAGTTGAGTTTTTTAACGTGTATTCTGCGTTCTCTTCGACTTCGTGCACTTCAAGACTTCAGTTTCCATCATTTTTCAATAAATGCGCTCAGGAACTAGTGCAGTTCATGTCGTCGCAGAACATTTCGTATGACATGATTGTCGCTGCAGGATTAGCCCGAAAATCGCTATCCATCCAGCACGGATCACTACTGGATGAATAACGAGCAAACATCATATCAGACTGTAGCACAATGTGCTTTGTTTGCATCGACCTCTATTTCTCCTAATCACAGAACACATGAATAAGGAGGTATTGACAAAAAGGGATACACAGTTAACCAAACAGCTTGAAAATAATTTCCAGATGATTTCGTTCGATACCAATTGTGAAACCGTCATGGCGAGATGGCCTATAAAATGGACGCGCATGATCTCGTTCCAATCCAAATGTTGTTTGCTCTCATACCACTGTGCTTCCTCCTGATCAATGTAGAGGCTCAGGGTAAGTTGAGCCGCTGAATTCCTATGGTAATTGAAATTATTATTAGGTTGGCGGGAAAGTTCTGTCACTTTTTTCAAATTGGGCTTTCTTTTTATAGAGAGGCGTGTAAGATCAAAATTGTACAGCAATGCTACTGCGGGGTCCTTGCCTGTTTTTGAGCACCTCATGGATGCCATCGCTTCACAATGCAGGGAGGCGCGATACAAAGTTGGACATCATCTCAATCTTGGCTTGAACTCAGACTTTTCGAGGTTTTCTCGTAATTTCTCGTCCAGTAATGATTGATTACGGGAGGCAACTCGCAGTTAGAAGGAGCAATGTCTGTGCTACACCACTGCAAGGGGAGAGCCATCCAGCTCTATTGCATGAGGAACGGCTAGAACTTTTTTGGAAGTGCGCTGCACTATCTAAAGCATTTGGAGGGGTAGGTGACGATGGTACCATTCCACCATAACATACAAAACATAACATAACATTCTTGTCCATATTGCAGATGAAGAAGAAGCAGGAATCAAGCGAGTGGTACTAATAGAAAGACCACTCTTTGATGTATAAGTGCTCACATTACCGTTCACCCTCTTCAGGTAATGGGCAAATATTTTGAGTTCGAAAAAGTGACAGAACTTTTCCGCAAACCTAATACCTTTTCCTTTACCTATCACGACTGCTAAGAACAGTCCACTTCACGAATGAAGGAGAAATATGTGTTTTCAGCTATATGCCCGACCTACACAGCATTCAGTTCCTGGTACTCGAAGTTCAATCTAGGCCTTAACCCTGACTTGGTTGGTGTTTTGATGTCGTATCTTCATGAAATATTCGTTCCAATTATCGCCTATAACTGACTGGTAGATTATTATCACAAGGGTGCTGAGTTATGGGCAAAAGTCGTGCCCCAGGCGGGAGTCGAACCCACACCTCACACTATCTGTCACGGTGCGGGTTCGACTCCTGCCTAGGGTACGACTTTTGCCCACAACTCATTCTTGTGATAACATTCACAACGCGAACTGCGGCGTTAAACAGCAGTTATCATCATTGACGGTAGAGTTTTAACACAACTAAAATTTTGATTATGTACCGAACCCAGTGAAACATTCTGAGAAACTCAGGCGACTTATTACTTAATCCTCTCGAAGATAGGTTCTGGGCCCACCTTCAAAGACCGTGATCTTTGTTATGTGCAAGATGAACAGCTATCAAAGATGAACAGCTATAACAGTGTACCGCTTTCATCATTCTGAAGTGAGGCTGGTCGATAGTGGTAGCCAAATGCCTTTTCGGACTGACCCACGAGAACGCACTGGCTGTGCTACCAAGCATACGCCTAACTGCGGCCGAACGACCGCCTTGCCTGCACATATCATGTTTTGTTGTTGTGGTAACGACAGGCAGCTTGTAGTCCGTGTTATTCGCTGCAGGTCCTCAGGATCTACGCAAGTGCCGCAAGTTGTGGACAGCGGGTAGAGGTCCATATGGCATTCAGCATCCACAAACCTCCGGCATTATTTTCGAACACTTTCAAGGTATAAAAGTGGCATATTCACGCGGACCTGCATACATCGCACGGCGAGACGATCCATCTTACACCAAAATGTGCTAAGTATCTTTGGCATCCACATAAGCGAAATCCTAGCATCGATTTTTGAAAAATCATGCTTCTAGAAATGGGACCCAAGACTTTCTCGTGAGGCTTGTGACGAGGCAAGACGTCGAAGAACTTCCGATGCACCCTATAAATTCAAGGCAGATAAGTTGGTATTTGCTGATGCGAATAAATATCAACTTTTATTTCACAAAACACTCACTCAACTCGTTAAGACGCTTTATGGTATTTGCATCTCCCGAAAAGATGGTTAAGGAGGTCCTGGAGGACGCTTCGCAAGATGAAACAAAAACCAAAAATGTGAGTCAAAATGAAATTTTTAATAACACCGAACCTTGTGGATGTGGAAGTGTGACGCCTACACCTTCACTTCTGAGAATAAATGTGTTCCAAATTGAGATAAGGTTTCAGAATACACCACATTTCCTCGTATGAACACTCCATATCCCAGAAAAGAGCGTGGTGGTACGTACTTTATCTGAACGTGGCGGCAGCTGCTCTCTCACATGGGATGGTCTTGAGGTTGAGGAAGCAGTCTCTAATGAGATATAGCTCATCGTAGTTTCAGACCATGATCTCAAACCTAATTGCATTTGATTTGCAGACGTTTCTCGACAGATTATCGAGCGTTTTGCTCCTCGTGCTAGCCTCAGTGCTGCATAAATGACTGCCTGGACGCTTAGCAAAGATCTTATCATTACGCCATGCAGCCGCTTACAGTGCAGTCACTTCACATTTATTTAAGCCCTGCGAACGCTTTTGACTATGAGTCTATTTATCCGAACGAACCTCCACTATTCCGTTAAGAGGATCGTTCTGCATAGTTCGAAAGCAGATTCGGGATCACAATCCAAAAACAGGTGCTGTCATCTATGTCCTATTAGATGGGAAGGCTACTTCAACCTGGGGACCAACCCTAGTCAGTAGGATAGTGCCGTTTTGGGAAGAATTGTGAACAAGTCATTGTGCGGAATGACATTTGTATCATGTGAAAATGTACTACGAAAACGCGTCAAGCAAGCACGCCCTCCCTACTTCCAGGATACAGTGCGTGTGATGATAGTTAAATTAGTAGCGACTACAGAAATTCTCTTGCTGAACTGTGGCACGTTACACTCCACACCCGGACATGGGAAGTGATTCTTACTTTATACAGACATAAGGTAGGATAACTTTTTCCGGGGAGATGGGTGAAACTTTCATTTCGACTTGTGCTGGGAAAAGGCAGTAACACAGTTGTTCAAACATATTCCACAAAATCGCAGCCGCGACACTTACATGAAAGCGCAGCCAGCTCACTTCTTCTCTGGGATAAGTTGATATGATAGATTGATTTTTGCGGCAAAAACACTGCGATTTACGGAACTCCACTAAAGTTGAAAGACTAATTCAAATGGAAAAAACGTTGCGTAAGTCAGGGAGTTTCCATGTTGGTCGGAGTCTGTCTCATCGTTTTTTTTTTGTAGGTACGCGAGCTTGCTGCACATACCAAGTATGGATGCAACAGCGTCCAGTCAGGAAGACTAGTGAGGGTCGTCTGTCTCTACAAGACTCCCAAGGAATGATTTATCTTCAGCATGCACACGCGACTGACAAGATACATTGTCCAGTTTTTGACAGAATAAATCGCGCAAATATTCATTAACAATGTGGTGCACTGTTATTTGAAATATTTACCTCAAGGCATCATAAATTAGTCGTCAGAGCCATTCTAGAACAGAGACTTTGACTCGACAATTTCTTGACTGCAGTACCTAAGCTTAGTCGCTTAAATTCACAATGCTATCACAAATTTTTCTCAAGAAGAGAATCCACGATAGCCAGCTGCTTAAACACCGCTCCATCTTTCTTGTGTTGTCGGTCCAAGTGCAGAAGGGGGTCTTTTTCGTGCAATGCAATAACCACGTCTCAACGTGACAGCGCTGCCTCATTTCAACTACTTAGTGAGCTACTTCACTAATTTGTGCATACTACTAGGACGTGATAGAACTGGTATACTCCCAAAAATGAGTCAGTGTCTCAACTCAGGATGAAGGATTGAAGTTGAGACTACTGAAGGTTTTTCAGAAAGAATAAGAATAATTTCCTGCATTTGCTGCCCATGTGGGTCGTATATCCATTTTAGCTCTCTAGCTTTCAGCTCGGATTAGTAGCAGGTCCTTGTCGAATGATATTAGCGACTGCGTGGTCTTCTCAAATCCCTCTTAAGGTATCAATACGTCGACGACTTTCTACCCAAAGACCAGGAGACCTAAATGCAAGATGAAAACGAAAATCACCGCTGAGCCAGCACAATACACAATTGTATCCGTGCATGGATTTCTAATGAATAATACACACAAAAAATGCACTAGTGTGCCTTAGTCGGAAACCATCTGGCGCGCTTCCAAGTCGTGGAAGTAGGAACGGCCTTCGGATACGACGGCTATCTGAGAATAATAAATAAATAGTTGCGAACAGTCGAGCGTCATTCAAGATGAAGCGGCTAAAATAGCGATTTTCAATATATATTCCATAGACAACATATCTTTCATTGGCTCGCGCTGAATTCTAAATGTACAAGGGCCCAATAAAAAAGAGACACTTTGGCCGAGTCACATATCAGTAAAGTTTACGCAGCCCAGATAGAAGACGTGGATACGAGTACCAGGGCGGAAGATACCCAAGATGTTCCTCGATAAGCAGGAGCAGGCTCTCGTCCATCACCTTCATGTACACCAAAATATGAAGTCATCTCCAGTCGCAGCCTGACTGGAGAAGACCTTTGGAATTCACGTCACCTCCAAACAGCTGCGAAACTTCTTGTATGGAGTCACCCATGGACAGCTACCTGGAGACCAGTACTCTTGATCTGGAAGACCTCCAACATCGAGCAGCTCCGACAACGTCGCTACGGTCTAGGATATCATCTTCACCGCAGTCGCCAAGGCGCGGGTTGGTGGTATGACCGAAAGTTTCTAAAATGGGAATGCTGATATCTTCTTCGTGGGCCCGGCCGTGGACTGGAAGTGAGCGTTGCCCGTTACATCGGCCATGTGGAGGAGAATATCGTGCCCCCTTTTCGTCGCCTCTATCGTTTTCGTACTGCTACAGGATCGGTACCAGCACGTGGAATCGAAGGGCGTTGGAATAACTCTCGCCTACTTTAAGTGGAAGGGCATTGAGAACCTCAGAGGACGGGATATGCAAGTGTATCACCTGACCTAAACCCCCCCGATTATCACGTTCGAGAGGAACTCCTCAGGGTGGTCTACAGTGGCGGAGAATCAACGACCTCGCTGAACTCAGGCACCGAATCACGGTCGCGTGGCAGAATCTCTCGATGGCGCTCGTCCAGAAGGCTGTGGCGGAGTATCGTGATAGTGTACAATGTGTTGTTGAATATGATGGTGGAAATGTCCATAAAATTCAATAAAGTGTTACTTATAGCGCCTCGAAAGTCGAGGAAGAAAATGCCTTTTTATCAGCTCCCCCCCCCCCTGAAGCTACTGGGTTGGAAATAGATGATGGCGTTTTTTCTAACATAGAATTCCGTATAATAAGTGAAAATGTATCAATGATTTATGTTTTTCATAGGTAACCTTCTGCTTTATATGACTTTATAGTATAACAATGTGCTTAGTTTCTATTCAC